TCAAGGTCCCTCCCAATCTGCTCTTGGTAAACTGCAAACCTTTTATTGCTTCTGGTTTCATAGGGTATTGCTTCTGATATGGCCTATGATTAGATTTGGGTATCACCTGTACTGGAATTACCCCTTTTTATTAATCCTACGTCTGCTGGACCCCGGGACCACAAATGCTCTGGAACTTCTTTTAAGTCTGACTCCTGTTGTTCTGTCAACAGGTATTCCTCTCCTCAGCATCTGCTATTCTCATCTAAATGTACTATCTGTGGATGGGCTGTGTTGATCGCCACTCACAATATTGACCCAATCAGTGATCCTCTTACCCTTGGATACCCACTGGCCCATGTCTTTCCAGTCCTCTGCTGGCTCCTTTGCTAGGGACACATGTGGGCTCCATATTTCCCTGAACAGTCTCTGACTTTGGGGCCCTATTTCCACCTCCACTACTGCGTGGGTGTTGTCATAGTGAAACCATTTCAAGGCTATAGTCCTTTCTGTGGTTTTAAATAATGCTTTCTCATAGATTGCATCTGGACCTGGGTGTTTGTTATACCAGAAAGTACAGTGTAGGTCATCGGGGGACATTTTAGTGGGGCCTGGTACTACATCATCAGCAAGTTCCATCAAGGTTCGGGGAATATCAGTTATTCCCACCCTAAACAAATCTTGCCTATCCCAATAACATGGCTCCCCTTCCCCACAGACCACCATATTGTCTCTGACTATGTGTACTTTCATTCCCCTCTCAGCGGAAATGACAGCCACATTCAATTTAGTCATTACATCACGTCCTAGTAAATTTACCCGACACAGCTTAGATATCAGGATGGGTATGGTTGCCTCTCATCCTGATTGGTCATGTTTTAGGGTTATTGGGGCAGATAACCTTTCAATAAATTGATGACCAGAGGCAGATCGCACTATGATTTTCTCCCCATCAATCCTGACTCCATCTGGCTTGTCTGTTGCACAGGTTGCTGTCCTGCAGGCTCCCGTATCACAAAGGAATTTAATTTTCATACCCATTACTGTCAATGTCAAATAAGGTTTCTGTTCCTGTTGAAGTGCTAAGTCAATAGTAGCCAATTCAAACACCTCACAATTTGGATCAAAGGGTTCCTTAGTCTTCCCCCCACTAGAGTCTACTATTTCTCCCTCAAGGACTAGTCACGCCTTATCTTCCTCTTCCTCACGCTCAAAGCTGGGGGATGGACTTCTCTCTCTCTTTTCTCTCTTTTCTCTCCTGTCTGACTTTCTCTGCCCTTGTCCTGTACTCCTCTACCTCTGGCTCTTCCTCACCTTCATCTTCCCTTCCTCCTCCAGCCCCTTCTTCCTCATAGGGAGGTGGGGCCGGTGGGGGGCAACATTATTCCCCTGCACTCTCCTTCTCCTCCCTACGTATTCATCATCTGGATTTTCTCTCCATGCCTGGTCTGCCAAGTTTGGATATAACCTTTCTGCCCTCTGCTCTGGGGGAGGCACGGAGACCTCAACCTTCACTTCTCTTTCCCTCTCACTCACTTCTCTTTTCTTCCTGCCTTATCTCCTCTCTCTCCTAAGTTTCTAGTTCTACCCGCCATCTCTCCCAGAGTGGCAATTAGTTACTCTGCATCTTCCTCTTCTTTCTTGGCTCTGTCCTGTCTGTTATTCTGCTCATGATGGATTGCATGTCTCTCTGAGGCTATTACACAATTCAGTTATTTTCCCAACATACTCTCCGTAATCGGCCCATGGCAAAAGTGTCCTCTGGGCATCCCCTGAAACCCACTGCCCTCTAACGGCAGCCCAAACCTTACTATTCCTGTTTTGGGGTGGGTCATTCCTTCTACCGCTCTGGCCACGTCCTCTGTGTTCATGGCCTGTCTGCTAAATGGCATATTATTATTATTACTGTATACATCTAAGGTTGCTGGGGCCCCTTTCATTCCCCGCCAATAGATTAGGTAAGGCTATCAGTGGGTACTGGCCCCCTCCTACTCTCTCTCTCTCTCACTGCTTATTTCTCCTTTACACACCTTATGTATCTGTTTAAGCATGGATTCGAGTTTATCTGCGTCTAGACGTCCCTCAAAACCATACCTCTCCCTCCACCTGGTTACATAATGGAGATTTCTTCTATCCCTGGATTCCATTTTAATTACATCAAGTATTTCTCGTCCCCAGTAAATTCTGGGACCTCTTGTGAGGATTTGCCCCCCCCATGGTTGGTACTGTTAAAAGTCCCTTAGCCACCTCTTCTATATAACAAGTCAATTTAACAAGTAATTCAAAATAGCTTCACACAACAACACCTTGAATCACCCCTTCCTGTATATGTAATCTTGACTAGTCCCCCAGAATTATCTCATACTTTTACAGAGGGATTGATCCCCACAATGTAATCTTGATAATTCCTGACAGTCAACCCCACATTTCACTTAAAATGGCTACGCATTGATCAATTTGCTACTTTTCAATATTTTAGCAAGTCCTCAAATCAATTTCACCAAGTTAATGAATAAAGACTACTGACCTTATCCTTGCAGCCGAGATTCAATGTAGGTTTGGATTCCGTCACCGTCTCTGTCATTAATCAGGTGTCCTCTGGCCTGTTTTAACCCTTAATGTCAAAGGGCAGGACTTTCTATTTACGAATGTATAATTCGCCCGTCGACGGTTTTCAGAGTTACCTGGAATGACAGAAACAGGGTATTGGAATCCGGCTCGAAGGACCAAGCTGTTATGTGAATTATTTAACAAACTATTTAGTGTCTCTGTGCGTCTCCCAAAAGGTTGTAAGTCTTTTGGGATTTAAGTAACGGCCAGAGTCCCGGTCTGCATAGTCAGAGATATTTATTCATTGAGAATTCTGCCATCACAATTTCAGAGTCCATCTTTTATACTCATACGTCATACAAAAAGAAATCCCTTCCCTCTGTAGGCGGGCTGTAGTTTTCCACTCTAAAACTGCTCTACTGACCTTCAGTTCACACACACACACATATACACACATGCATACACACATACATACACACACACACACACATATCCTACTCCCTGCTTTACTCAGTTATTGCCGTTCTCACAATATTCTGCACCATGTTTTCATAACAGTTTCTCCCCCTCCCTAAATTGGGAGGCCTCTTTATCTTAGTTTCTCAGTTGTCTTTGTTGTCTGGCCTGACTCTTACTCACATTGCTAAATAGTGGCTCAATGCCATAGCCTTTACTGGTCCTACACTCACACATTATACACAGTTTCAGGGTGTAATAATTAGTCATTAATAATTAATCTATCAGATCATTACACAGGTGCACCTTGTGCTTGGGATAATAAAAGGCCACTTTAAAATGTGCAGTTTTGTCACACAACAAAATGCCACAGATCTCTCAAGTTTTGGGGGAGCATGCAATTGGCATGCTGACTGCAGGAATGTCCACCAGAGCTGTTGCCAGAGAACTGAATGTTCATTTCTCTACCATAAGCTGCCTCCAATGTCATTTTATAGAATTTGGCAGTACATTCAACCGGCCTCACCATCGCAGACCACGTGTAACCACGCCAGCCCAGGACCTCCACATCTGGCTTCTTCACCTGCGAGATCCTCTGAGGGGGGGTGGGGGGTTGGTGCTGAGGAGTATTTATGTCTGTAATAAAACCCTTTTATTTTGATCTGAGAGTGTACAGCACAGTTAGGACTTCAGGAGCTATACAACAAGAGGCATGCACCAACAACACTTCTAGTAAAGCAAATCTCACACGTATGACAATTAATCTTATTAGTAGATGGGGTGGGAATTCCAAACACCACCATGTTACTTCGCCAACTTCTTTAGTTTTGGTAAACAGCCTCAAGCATGTGTGGAGGCCTATAATGAAAAATTGTTATTTCTGTAAGAAATGACATTGAATTGAGTCCCAAATGGCACCCTTTTCCCTGGTCAAAAGTAGTGCACTATAGGGAATAGGGTGCCATTAGGGACGCATCCTGGGTATTTCCCAGCAACACGACGCAAACATGACGTGACAATTTGGGAATGTAGGTTATCTGACCACCAGGGTTAGTATGTTTGATTTAGATAGTGGAAATGCTCTACAGGATTGTTTGTCATGGTTTACTACACAAAAGACAAAGCCTCTCTGCATTCTTGCACACTTTGAATCTATGGCAACTGTCCTGTGCAGGTTAGGGTCAGTTTACTTTGTGCAGGTTGGGTTAAGTTTACTTTGTGCAATAGGAAAGTTTACTTTGTGAAAATAACTCATTTTGCAGAAGGAAATTAAAGGAGTATCAAACATTCAAAGAAACGGGTACAATCAAACAAATAGTTCACTTTTACAATTGAGCTGTTAAAGTTTTGCCTTTAAAAAATGTATGTATTTTTTTTTATTTTGTTCACAGTTTTGCAATGGACTCAAATGACTTCAAAGGACTTATTGATAGTAACACATTAAATAAATGTTATAGACATGGCTGTTGGCCAAAGGAACAAAGGGGTTGGCTGTGGTATTATCTGGAATGTACAAACTGTCTTTGTGTTCATAACCCCCCAACCTATTCTATTTGGAGGTTGTGTCCATATTATTGAAAAGTAAGTATATTGATACAAGGCTTTCTGACAAAGAGTCATTTTATTCATCTGTCAGTTTAGTTTCTGCTTGGATTTAAAAGCGATGAATAAGTAACTTGATGCCGGTAATCACAGTATAAATCACATGATGTGTCCTAGGAAACGGTATAAATGGAGCTCCCAGGTGAAATCCAGAACACTCACATCCTCTGAGTGGTAAGTCAACAACGGAGGGGTCCTGGAAGACTTGACTATTCTAGCAGACTGAAACGACATTGTTGGATTTGGTTTCAATTATGCTTTATTTTATTTGTAATTCCTACTAACACTTTATGTGAATTGTCACCTATAGATGGTTTATAGATGTTTAACTATATACAGTATCAACCAATTGTTCCACTAACTATCCACTACTAACTCTGAACCTCTTCTCAGGTGTGTTTTGGATCTGAATGATGGTGTTCCTAATGACGTCCTCAGGGGCTCCACTGCTGCTCCTGTTCATACAGGCCACCACTGGTCATAGCTCAGGTAACATGGTTGATGGTCATTTGGTATTATGTGTTTCAGGTCCTTGTGTTTAAGATCTGGGCAGAGTTCAATTTCCATCATAGTAGTTGACATTTTTTTTGAAGGTCTTGTTAGTCATACATAATTATGGTACATGATACTGTGGCTAGTAGCCTATGCTTCATCAGAGACTCTCTTTTGTCAGTTCGGTCAGATGTCAACACCACCTCTCCAACACAGTTGTCGACACCACCGCTTACCACCCCACCCGGCATAGCAGACACTATGTTCTCAACAATGACATCCGATACAACATCAGCAATAGCCAATAGTCAAGTCAGATTGGTCAACGGTCCTAACTCCTGCTCTGGGAGAGTGGAGGTCTACCACAGTGGTAGCTGGGGGACGGTGTGTGATGACTCGTGGGACTTGAGTGACGCCCAGGTGGTGTGTAGACAGCTGGGCTGTGGGGAAGCTCTGTCTGCACCACCTGAAGCACGCTTCGGACAGGGGAACGGGACGATCTGGCTGGATGACGTTATATGTACAGGCAGCGAGCCTAATCTCACAATGTGCAGTCACAATGGGTTTGGATTACACAACTGTGGACATCATGAAGACGCTGGTGTCATCTGTTCAGGTAGGAGTATTGTTTTTTAAGCTTCTTTATTAATTATTTTTCGATCAACAACCTTAGTAAAGGTTTTTCTGGATACAGGTAGATCACCATCCTGGTGTCTTATGGTTTAAACCCCACAACAACTGATTTCACAACCATAAATACGTCAAGACAAGCAAGCACACATTTTCTTTAGGAAATGTCCTATTCTCGTTTATGTATTCATTTTCCTCATTTTTTAAATGTTTATTCTATTTGGACCCAACCTCCACTTCTCCCCATCCCTTTATAACCCAACCTCCACTTCCCCCCATCCCGTTTAACCCAACCTCCACTTCTCCCCATCCCTTTTTAAACCCAACCTCCACTTCTCTCCCCATCCCTTTAACCCAACCTCCACTTCTCCCCATCCCTTTATAACCCAACCTCCACTTCTCCCCATCCCTTTATAACCCAACCTCCACTTCTCCCCATCCCTTTATAACCCAACCTCCACTTCTCCCCATCCCTTTATAACCCAACCTCCACTTCTCCCCATCCCTTTATAACCCAACCTCCACTAGGGACTTTATTATTATAAAATTGTGTAAAGTAAGTTTGTACTGAAATCCTGTCTTTAGCTCCATCAGGTGGCAGTACCACCACAGCAGCACCACCTACCTACTGGAACACCACAACAGGAACAGCCCGACCAACCAACCAAACAACCACATTGGCAGGTAACTCCACAGAACCAATAACAGAGTGGCAAGATCAATCAATCAATCAATCCAATTTATTTATAAAGCCCTTTTTACATCAGCAGACATCACAAAGTACTATACAGAAAGCCAGCCTAAAACCCCAAACAGCAATGCAGATGTAGAATCACACCCAGATGCTTGCCCTGTCCAAATACCTATACTAGCGTACTACATACTTAAACTGCATACTATGTACTCATCGTTGCATACTCTTTAGCACGTACCATTTAATAAGAAGTATGCAGTGTGCAGTATGCTACAGCCGCAACGCAGTAGATGCTCCTGACTGGCTGCGTAGATGGGGCGGGGCCGAGTGCAGGTGAAGTTTTCCAAATTCAACAGACATGCATCGCATTAACCAGCCTGATAATGGCTCATTTCCAATTTGTTTAATTTATCTAAACTCTGAATAGAATAGGAATGGAGTTATAGGCCTACTAAGGCGGGTATAGGCAGACTATCACATTCAACCTATACCATAGCCCACATAGTCCATCTATCATATTTAAAAAGGACTGAAGACAGAAAAATATAATTTGGTTCCATTTCAACATATCATTAGTGAAACCAAAGTGTTATAATAATAATAATAATAATAATAATAATATGCCATTTAGCAGACGCTTTTATCCAAAGCGACTTACAGTCATGTGTGCATACATTTTTACGTATGGGTGGTCCTGGGGATCGAACCCACTACCCTGGCGTTACAAGCGCCATGCTCTACCAATTGAGCTACATATATATATATAATTTAAATCAAATAGCGTAGTACACAGTGGCGTGTATTCATGGATGCCAAGGGAAGCCAGGCTCCCAAAGAAATTGCCAAATAAAAGATTTAACATAAACATTATTTTGTCTTTCGTCTCTCTGTGTTTCATACATTTCCTTCAATTCTCAAGAGGCTTTATGTATCTCACTGGATAAAGCATCCGAGCGAACGAAACAGTGCCCCTCTGTCTCAGTATGCGTAGCGTATCTATCTGGTGCCGTCTGGTCAGAAAGAGTATGACATTGTTGCTGCCCTGCATTGTCTTGGCTGTGTGCTTAGTGTTTTTGTCCTGTTGGAAGATTAACCTTCGCCCCAGTCTGAGGTCCTGAGCGCTTTGGAGCAGGTTTTCATCAAGGATCTCCCTGTACTTTGCTCCGTTCATCTTTCCCTCGATCCTGACTAGTCTCCCAGTCCCTGCCACTGAAAAACATGCCACCACCATGCTTCACCGTAGGGATGGTGCCAGGTTTCCTCCAGACGTAACGCTTGGCATTCAGGCCAAAGAGTTTAATCTTGGTTTCATCAGACCAGAGAATCTTGTTTCTCATGGTCTGAGAGTCCTTTAGGTGCCCTTTGGCAAATCCAAGGGGGCTGTCATGTGCCTTTTACTGAGGAGTGGCTTCCGTCTGGCCACTCTACCATAAAGGCCTAATTGGTGGAGTACTGCAGAAATGGTTGTCCTTCTGGTAGGTTCTCCCATCTCCACAGAGGAACTCTGTGTGCCAAGCTTGTAGCGTCATACGTAAGAAGACTCAAGGCTGTAATCGCTGCCAAAGGTGCTTCAGCAGAGTACTGAGTAAAGGGTCTGAATACTTATGTAAATGTGATACTTCCGGGTTTTTTATTTTATAAATTTGATAACATTTCACAAAAACAGTTTTTGCTTTATCATTATGGGGTATTGCGTGTGAATTGATGAGGGGGAAGAAGTATTTAATCAATTTTCGAATAAGGATGTAACGTAACAAAATGTGGAAAAAGTCAAGGGGTATGAATACTTTCCGAATGCAGTGTGTGTATATATATATATATATATATATATATATATATATATATATATATATATATATATATATATATCCTGAGCTTTCTTAGATCTCCTAGATATGGGACAGACACTTCAAAACCTTATTCCTTATGATTTATTTTTTTACTGTCTTTTTTTTTGCCATTTATGAATGTGTTATTCAATGTGTTTCTATGGGTTATAGTATTAAAAGCCTAATTCAATATTTAATCAAATTATTATTTTATTTTAAAAAATTATACCTAAAAATAAATAAAATAGTAAAATGACCATCTTAAAACAATTCCATATGACAGCTTAGAACAATTTGTTGGGCTTTCCTCTGACACCGCCTGACATAGAGGTCCTGGATGGCCGGGAGCTCGGCCTCTGTGATGTACTGGGCTGTCCGTACCACCCTCTGTAGCGCTTTGCGGTCAAGGGCGGTGCATTTCCCATACCAAGTGGTGATGCAGCCAGTCAAGATGCTCTCGATGGTGCAGCTGTAGAACATTTTGAAAAGTGTGCATCGAATTCTACTAGATGAACAGCCGAAATCAGTATAATGTCCTGGCATTTAAACCATACTCGATTTTTGAAAATTCACATAATATACAACATTTTATTTTTGAATACTGAGAATGCATCATGCGCGATTGCATTGTTTCCCGCTATTCGTTGATTTCGGTGGCGCATCCCCGAATTGATCAGCTGTTGTCAAAGCCGAACTTAGCATGACATCCGGGCATTTAAAATATACTTGATTTTTGAAATGTTGCATACTATTAAACTTTTTTTTTTGCATACTCAAACGGACTACTATTTAGGACGCAAGCATGGGTATTCGGACACAGACATTTAGTTTTTTTGCATTCCATCCTTTTTATCTGTAGAAAGTTGTAACTTGACTGAAGGGAATTCATTTCTTTGTCAGATGCCCCGATCAGATTGGTCAACGGTCCTAACTCCTGCTCTGGGAGAGTGGAGGTGTACCACAGTGGTAGCTGGGGGACGGTGTGTGATGACTCGTGGGACTTGAGTGACGCCCAGGTGGTGTGTAGACAGCTGGGCTGTGGGGAAGCTCTGTCTGCACCACCTGAAGCCCGCTTCGGACAGGGGAACGGGACGATCTGGCTCGATGACGTTATATGTACAGGCAGCGAATCTAATCTCACAAGGTGCAGTCACAATGGGTTTGGATTACACAACTGTGGACATCATGAAGACGCTGGTGTCATCTGTTCAGGTAGGAGTATTGTTTTTTAAGCTTCTTTATTAATTATTTTTCGATCAACAACCTTAGTAAAGGTTTTCTGGATACAGGTAGATCACCATCCTGGTGTCTTATGGTTTAAACCCCACAACAACTGATTTCACAACCATAAATACGTCAAGACAAGCAAGAACACAATCTCTTTAGGAAATGTCCTATTCTCGTTTATGTATTCATTTTCCACATTTTTAAAATGTTCATTCTATTTGGACCCAACCTCCACTTCTCCCCATCCCTTTATAACCCAACCTCCACTTCTCCCCATCCCTTTATAACCCAACCTCCACTTCTCCCCATCCCTTTATAACCCAACCTCCACTTCTCCCCATCCCTTTATAACCCAACCTCCACTAGGGACTTTATTATTATAAAATTGTGTAAAGTAAGTTTGTACTGAACTCCTGTCTTTAGCTCCATCAGGTGGCAGCCACACCACAGCAGCAGCACCTACCTACTGGAACACCACAACAGGAACAGCCCGACCAACCAACCAAACAACCACATTGGCAGGTAACTCCACAGAACCAATAACAGAGTGGCAAGATCAATCAATCAATCAATCCAATTTATTTATAAAGCCCTTTTTACATCAGCAGACATCACAAAGTACTATACAGAAAGCCAGCCTAAAACCCCAAACAGCAATGCAGATGTAGAATCACACCCAGATGCTTGCCCTGTCCGAATACCTATACTAGCGTACTACATACTTAAACTGCATACTATGTACTCATCGTTGCATACTCTTTAGCACGTACCATTTAATAAGAAGTATGCAGTATGCAGTATGCTACAGCCGCAACGCAGTAGAGGCTCCTGACTGGCTGCATAGATGGGGCGGGGCCGAGTGCAGGTGAAGTTTTCCAAATTCAACAGACATGCATCGCATTAACCAGCCTGATAATAGCTCATTTCCAATTTGTTTAATTTATCTAAACTCTGAATACAATAGGAATTGAGTTATAGGCCTACTAAGGCGGGTATAGGCAGACTATCACATTCGACCTATACCATAGCCCACATAGTCCATCTATCATATTTAAAAAGGACTGAAGACAGAAAAATATAATTTGGTTCCATTTCAACATATTATTAGTGAAACCAAAGTGTTATAATAATATTATAATAATATGCCATTTAGCAGACGCTTTTATCCAAAGCGACTTACAGTCATGTGTGCATACATTTTTACGTATGGGTGGTCCTGGGGATCGAACCCATTACCCTGGTGTTACAAGCGCCATGCTCTACCAATTGAGCTACATATATATATAATTTAAATCAAATAGCGTAGTACACAGTGGCGTGTATTCAGCGAGCATTTGGCCTCCCAAATTATTGGCTATTATAAAAGAACAATAGCCAATAAGCGTTGAGCTAAACTGAGTGAGCCCAGCTGTGAATGGTCCTGGTCAACCAAACAAAAGTGTCAAGGGAAGCCAGTTTGGATTTGGCTTCAGACCAATCACATCACAAGCCAAACATCATTATTGACAGAAAAATTGAATTGTTGCATCTCGTTGTGTTTTTGTCCTCCGGTGGCTAGCTAGCTAGCAAAAATGGGCCCTTACCTAAATTAGCCATGGATGGAGATAGGGATTTGGATTTTACTTAATTCTCTGTACTGGCCAATGATTATAACAACGATTCTGTTCCAACCATAAATTAATACATTGTGCCCCTGGCCTGAGAGGATGGAAGTTCAACATGTAGCTAGATGTAGTATGCTAATGTTAACTAGCTGGCCTGGCGTATTGTTTCCCATGAAAGGAAGTTAGGCTAGCGAGCAAGTATTTTAGCAAGGTAGCCTAGGTCAACAAAAACTAAAAGTGTGTACTGTATGACAGAGTCATAGATCATTTAGGCAACATGATAGAGCAGGAGTTTCTCTACAAGTAGGGTGAGTCAACATGTTTTTTCTACTTGTACACACGCACACACACACACACACAAATCAGTCCCATGGACAGCCACATCATATTTAGCTTACGTTGATTGGACTAAATAGTTTTTGGTATCATTTAGTTGCCACTATATTAGACTGAGCATAGTTGATTAGATGATGTTGAAATGTTGAAGTTGAAATGGTGCTGGAATAGTGGAGGCAGCTCCTGTTTTCTTTGCGACTTGCGGTAATGGAAATGTCGGTAACATTACCTTGCTTGACAATGCTGTAGGCCATGAACTGTTTGTTACATGCAATTTATTTTGTGGACTTCACCGGACAGATGTTGCCCTCCAGTTTTGTAATGAAACAAATGTGTGGTTGAATCTATTCTGCCACTGTGTCTTCTTATTGTCTCGGCCTTAGGCCTATATATCATGGTGGCAAGGCATATGAACTAACAGGTTATAGAGCAAACAACGCAATTATCACAACACTAGTTGTAATATGGCTTTTTTTTATGGATTGGCTTCCACAGTGATTTTACCAAGGCACCGCTACTGGTAACATAAACACCAAAACTTTTCAAATGTTCAAATCAAAAGGCTATTATTTCACAGAAAAACGTGGGCAGTTGGGTGCATCGCAAATTCAGAACTGCTGGACAGCAACATAATAAACTAAAGCACTAATCATTGGGAAAGAGATCAGTGTCACGATCGTCAGATATAGAGGACCAAGGCGCAGCGTGGAAGGTGAACATACTTATTTATTAAATGATACACAAACAAAACAACAAATCAATACGTGACGTCCACAGGTGCAAAAAACAAGATCCCACAAACACTGTGGGAAAACCACCTGACTAAATATGGTTCCCAATCGGAGACAACCAGCAACAGCTGATACTCGTTGCCTCTGATTGAGAACCACTCTGGTCAACATAGATATACAAAACTAGACTAGACACAACGAGCACAAAACATAAACTCTACACACCCTGGCTCAACTTAAAAGAGTCCCTAGAGCCAGGGCGTGACAATCAGAATGACTGCTAAGGGTTGATCCACAAATTAAACAATTACAGTGCCTTCAGAAAGTATTCATACCCCTTGACTTATTCCATATTTTGTTGCATTACAGCCTGAATTCCAAATCGGTTAAATACAGTGCGTAGGGAAAGTATATAGACCTCTTGACTTTTTCCACATTTTGTTACATTACAGCCTTATTAAAAAAAAAAAAAAATCATCAATCTACACACAATACCCCATAATGACAAAGCAAAAACCATTTTATTGAAACATTTTTATAAGAATGTATTTTTTTTTTCTACGGATATATCACATTTACATAAGTATTCAGACCCTTTACTCAGTACTTTGTTGAAGCACCTTTGGCAGCGATTACAGCCTCAAGTCTTCTTGGGTATGACGCTACAAGCTTGACACACCTGTATTTGGGGAGTTTCTCCCATTCTTCTCTGTCAGGTTGGATGGGGAGTGTCGCTGCACAGCTTTTTTCACATCTCTCCAGAGATGTTCGATCGGGTTCAAACTCTGGCTGGGCAACTCAAGGACATTCAGAGACTTGTCGTGAAGCCACTCCTGCATTGTCTTGGCTGTGTGCTTAGTGTTTTTGTCCTGTTGGAAGATTAACCTTCGCCCCAGTCTGAGGTCCTGAGCGCTTTGGAGCAGGTTTTCATCAAGGATCTCCCTGTACTTTGCTCCGTTAATCTTTTTTTCTCGATCCTGACTAGTCTCCCAGTCCCTGCCACTGAAAAACATGCCAATACCATGCTTCACCGTAGGGATGGTGCCAGGTTTCCTCCAGACGTGACGCTTGGCATTCAGGCCAAAGAGTTTAATCTTGGTTTCATCAGACCAGAGAATCTTGTTTCTCATGGTCTGAGAGTCCTTTAGGTGCCTTTTGGCAACTCCAAGGGGGCTGTCATGTGCCTTTTACTGAGGAGTGGCTTCCGTCTGGCCACTCTACCATAAAGGCCTAATTGGTGGAGTACTGTAGAAATGGTTGTCCTTCTGGTAGGTTCTCCCATCTCCACAGAGGAACTCTGTGTGCCAAGCTTGTAGCGTCATACGTAAGAAGACTCAAGGCTGTAATCGCTGCCAAAGGTGCTTCAGCAGAGTACTGAGTAAAGGGTCTGAATACTTATGGAAATGTGATACTTCCGGGTTTTTTATTTTATAAATTTGATAACATTTCACAAAAACAGTTTTTGCTTTATCATTATGGGGTATTGCGTGTAAATTGATGAGGGGGAAGAAGTATTTAATCCATTTTCGAATAAGGATGTAACGTAACAAAATGTGGAAAAAGTCAAGGGGTCTGAATACTTTCCGAATGCAGTGTGTGTATATATATATATATATATATATCCTGAGCTTTCTTAGATATCCTAGATATGGGACAGACACTTCAAAACCTTATTCCTGTCACGACCCGGTGCGAGAAACAGTCACTAATAATTGTCAGAACCCAGAAGATGAGGCAGACACAGCAGTACTAGAGATGGTGGTTTAATTAAAGAACAAAATCTTCAGGCAAAGAAACTCAATCCACAATGTCCAAAAATAAAGCCAAGAGGCACAAAGAGGAAAACCTCCAAAAAACAAAAGAAACTCCACAAAGTGGTAAAAAACAGCAGGGAAAAACAAACCTCAAAAGACTACTCAAACAAAACACAAGAACTAAACCAGAGAACCTCTGGAAAATCCCACCAGAGAAATATCTATATAAAACAAGGCTTGGGCTGGGGCTGGGTGCTAACTTACAAACACTGAGCAAGGAACTGAGGAACACACAGGGTTTAAATACTAACAAGGGAATGACCTACAGGTGCAAACAATAATTAGAGCAAGAAAAACAAAAGGTACAAAAAAGGTGCAATGGGGACATCTAGTGACCAAAACCCGAACAGTCATGGCCAAAACCTGACAGAATCCCCCTCCTAGGAACGGCTCCTGACGTTCCTACCAGCCTTCTCAGGGTGGAGGGCCCTGAACTGACGAATGAGGTCAGGGTCCAGTATGTCCTTGGCAGGAACCCAGGAGCGCTCCTCGGGACCGT